AGTGACATCAGCGACTTCCCCACGTCTGGCCTGAAGACTGGCGCTGGTGTGAGTACCAGTGGCCTCTGGCACTATCCTGCCACCGTATCCAACACCACCTCCACCAAAGAAATCGCTCGTTTTGCCGCCAACTCCGACTCGGGCAGCGAGACCACTGCTGCCGTGATCAACAACTTCGATGGCCGTGAGCAAATGGCCTTCTTCATCTCCTTCGACACCACTTGGAGCGCCACCTCCACCTACCTGCAGCACGCATGGATCACCTGGCTCACCCGCGGCCTGTACGCGGGTTACCGCCGCGTGAACCTGAACACTCAGATCGACGACATGTTCCTGGAAACCGACATCTACAAGCCCAACGGCACCACCTTCCGCATCACGCCGGCTGACCTGGACGGCATTGCTAACTGGCTGCCGGAAATTAATGGCAAAATGAACGCCGGCAGCAACTACTACGTCGAAGTCGGCCACAACGGCAACGGCAACATCGAATCCGCCGCCGGCGTCTCCGACGAGGGCTACACCACTTGCAACGAGGGCGGCATCGAGTACGACTCGCCTGCCGACACTCCCCTGGAATGGAAGAAGCCCGTGGGGACCGGCACCAACCTTTGGCCCTCCTCTCCCACCACCTACGACTGGTCCGTTGCCTGCACGCAACTCGACCCTCTCCTCCTCTGGTGGACCAACACTACCAACCAGGACAAGTTCGGCCACATCTCCCACACCTTCACCCACGAAGAGCAAAACAATGCCACCTACTCCGATGTCTACAAGGAAATCTCCTTCAACCAGGCCTGGCTGAAACAAGTCGGCATCTCCTCCGCCAAGCACTTCACTTCTAACGGTATCATCCCTCCCGCCATCACGGGCCTGCACAACGGTGATGCCCTGCGTGCCTGGTGGGAAAACGGAATCACTAACTGCGTCGGTGACAACACGCGCCCTGCCCTCCTGAACCAGCAGAACGACATGTGGCCCTACTGGACCAATGAAGCCTCTGACGGTTTCGACGGTATGCAGGTCAACCCGCGCTTCGCCACCCGCATCTACTACAACTGCGATACCCCAGACTGCACACTGCAGGAATGGATCGACACCTCCGCTGGATCCGGTGACTTTGATAACTTGCTCGCTACGGAGAAGGGCGAAGTCATGCGTCACCTGTTCGGTCTGCACCATGACCCCTACATGTTCCATCAGGCCAATCTGCGTAATGCCGATGTGGACGCCATCACAGTCAATGGCGTCTCGGCCAAGTACTCCATCTTCCAAGCGTGGGTGGAGACCCAGGTGCAGGAGTTTGTGCGCTTGGTCGATTGGCCCCTTGTTACCATCAACCATGAAGCTGTATGTCTCCCCCATTCCCCAATTTTAAGTCTAACCCAAAGATGATACTAATACGATGAATAGATGTCCGCTTCCTTCCTGGCCCGCTACACCCGCGACGCCTGCAATTACTCCCTGCGCTACACCATCTCCGATCACAAGATCACGGGCGCCACTCTCTCTGCGACGGATAATACCTGCAATGCTACCATCCCCGTCACTTTCCCCGTGGCACCGACCAACACGCAGAGCTTCACGACCGAGCAGGTCGGAAGTGACCCGTTGACGGTGTGGGTGCAGCTGTCGGGGTCGCCGGTCAGCTTTACGCTGTCGACGCCGATTGCGCTGTAAGATGAGTTTCTGAATGTTCATAGTATGTGTAATGGATATATTAGATACTAGTCAGTTACTACTTGGTTAGGTATGATATTTCGAATTGAATATATTAGCTATTAGTTAGTTGGGCGGGATGAATACGAATATGACATAAATACAACGAAAAGAATGGGTATTAAAACAAACAGGTTTCTTTCCTTCTTCCCCCGCTTAGTATCCTAGACTATAACACAGCAAATATAGCAACAATCAATTTAATCCAAACCATTCCAAGTACTCAACCCTGCTATATTTCCCCCACACTACTATCATAAAAAAACAGGTACGTACGTACCCTCTCACATTCCTAATGAGGCATGATGTATCTCTGCAGGGTCTCTTTTTACCGGCTATCCATGTTTTTGGCAGAAATCAAGAAACCCACGCATTCTTGGCGGGGTACAGGAATGTCATTGGACTGGTTTCAGCTGTTTGTTTGCTTCCTCTGTAAGTAGTACCTTAGTACCCCGTACTATTAATACCCTCCAACTACGGACTACCTCCATGGACAACCCGATTGCTATTATCTAATGGCATGGCATGACGCCACGAATGTGGCAAAAGTATCGAGTCAATATATTTGTCTGTTTTCGATCACATCTAGACTCGAGTAAACAAATAGCCGGATTCATCCGTGAGTAGGTAGGTTTTTCTCTCTGTGGCAAAAATATTGAGGCCGGATGGATGAGATGGATTTGAATGGGGAGGTCATGAGTCGGGTACTAGTAGATCTTGGCGGGACTTTTTCGTTTTGGGTTGGTTTGGGGTTTTGGAGCTAATAGACGAGAAAAGGGAGGATTGATTCGATCTAGATCGATTGGGTAACTTAATCGGGATCGAATTTCGGGATGCGCTTTGTTCAGAATCCTTTTCCATCGCATGGTTGGTTATCCGTGCTTTCCGATCTGAGACATATTGCTTTGTTTTTTTCCATCTGTTTGTGTCATGGGTATTAGATGGATGGTTTTGGTGTTATGTTATGTTATGTTATGCGCGAGATCAATTTATCCACACATCTACACAAGAATACTACAAGGATGGATAGAGCAGGGCTTGGCTTAACTCCGAACACATCATACGGTGTAAAATGTTGTACATTAGATCATCACACTACTAGTATCTATCCAGCAGAAATACTAGACATGGATGATGAATATAGTCAACTAACTAGGTATGCAACAACTCGTATTCCCACATCCATCTCATCCATCTACCTACTCCGCCCCAACACTCCTCCTCCTCCTCTTCCTCCGCATAATACTCAGTAATAATCAACATCCATCCCATCCCATCCGTCCGAATGACACACTAACACAACATGACACGACATCTAAGACATCACATCACGCCAAGCCAAGCAACAGGGGTTATACTCCCGCCCTCGTATTCGGCCTCGGCGAGTTCCCAACATTCATCATCCCCGCCCGCAGTCCTGAATAGCCCTAGTCGAATATCAAACCCGACAGGGGGAGTAAGTCTAAGCCGCTTTCCACCCTTCCCTCCGCATAGTCGGTGGTAATTACTCAATGAGGTGGAGATTTGCTTCTTCTATACTACCATCATCACTACTACTAATACCACTGTCTTTTCGTCTGTGTAATAGGGAGGAGGACGGGCTTCGCCGTAGCAACCGTCACACACATACCTGGATGTCAAGCTTTGACTGACAGATGGATACCTGGATAGCTGGCTAGCTGCCAGGGTCCAGGGGTGATGTGTTGGCGAGGTGTGACTGGTTTGGTTTCTTCTGCATGTACTCTCGGGGGAGATGTTGAGGGTATCCCAGTTAGGGTCGGTGAGTACATAGCTTACTAGCTAGCTAGTGAGTCGGCTCCGAGGGGAGGTAAAGTTGAGTCTGGAGTGTGTCTACTAGTCAGGTCAGGTCATAAGATCCATCACATCAGAACAGTGTGCTAGGAGTCCGGAGGAAGTCTTCATTAGGTTAGATAAACAGTAACTACTTGGTACTAGTCATGCATCGCATCAGTATCCCCGCCATGACAACAACGTGGTGAATTGGAGATGACTGGAATGGAATCCCCCCTGCTGGCCAAGCCAAGCCAGCGGGTTTCCCTCCGCCGGCGGTTCTGGCTAGATTCTCTCGACGGGCGAGTCAGGCTGCGGCTCTAGTGTAGAGGCCAAGACGTATACGAGAGAAGAAGTAAGAGTCTAAGAGGAGATGTAAGCCGAAGAATTCGAATAGACTAATGTTTGACGATGGCTTAGCGAGCCAGAATAAGACGACTCCGTGGTGTTGCCAAGCCTGGTATCGAAAGTTACGCGGTACAGATGCTCTACACAGCGGAGCGGATTTACAAAACCGCAGTAATTACCATACCACTGTGAGCGTAACGAGAAAAGGATCTTACTGGATCTCGGGAGTTACGGTTAGTGTCCGAGGACTTCATGGCTGGATGGTTGGATGGATTGATTGGCAAGGTTCCGGCCCGATGGGAGGACAAGAAAGGCCAACGCACAGAATCAAGGGCCCAAAGAAGCAAAAAAAGGGGGGGAAGAAGCAGCCAGCAGCGCAGAATTTGTTCTGTTCCTATTACGCTATTAGCCGTTCTGCCTCCGTGAAGTTTCTTCACGGCGGAAAAGAAGGGGAAACTCTAAACCGGCAACGGCAAGTGAAGACGTCTCGCTTAGCCAGACTCAGAATCATTGCCTTTTGCCTCCAGCGTGTCGCCTAACCCATCGTCTATTTTGGGGGCGGCAGCACTCAAGAATAGCAACGCCAAGGGTTATACACACACCCAGCGCCAAGTCGGCATTGTCGAGTCGACGAGCTTGTCCTCTATTCCAGGATCACCGTGTTTCAGCTGCTCACTAGCTCCGAAGCCGGAGTGTTCCATGGTTGGCGGTGGAGATGGCTCTGGTGTTTCGAGCATCGAACAACCGTGGAAGCTCCTGAAGAAATCGCAATCTCTGGTTCCCCAATTTGTGGACTGAGCACGGTCGCATCTTGCGATCTCTGTTTATTTTCCGCTTAACTCTTTTGGTGGGCGACCCAAGACTGAGTAGACAGACAGTCAGTCATTCACTCCAAGCCATCCGGCCGAACCCGGGTTGTCCACCAGTCGACGTGAAGCATCCAACGCCAAGTTGATGACCGGACAAGACACCGGCGCCTTGGTAGTTTTATTCTTGGCCAGTTAGGCTCCCGAATTTTCGCCTCTTTGTCTTCCGGCGTTTCCCCTCTCGTAGACTGCCCGTCGATTAGGGCAGGGTTTCACAGCTAATGAGAGTGGCGGGACGATTTGCAGGGTTCAGCTGGTTCCCTTCAGGGTCCGACTCTCTCACCACCTCACCACACTGCCTATCATCATCACCAACTTTGACGCCCCTTCAGTTTCGCTCATTTGGCAAGCTGTTTCAGACGGCGTGCTGCAATATGAACCGGAGATCCGTGTGACCAGTGAAGCTTCTTTGACTTCATCTTCAGGCAACTTCATTTCCTCCAGCTGCAATTGCCCTGGTTTGACAGGCAGGTCCCGGTCTAGACTCACTGGTGACTAGTGACTGTTTCTGCACTGCGCTCCACCTTTTATTCCCCGTAGCCCCGGATCTTCTTCTTTCCTCTCGCGCGCGACTTTTTCGCGATTCCTCCTTTGCTCTCGTTCGTGTTCAATCTGCTATACGATGGAGCCAGCCAATGAGGCCGCCCTCAAGGGCCCTCCCACAAGGGGATGGAAAACGTGGACTTTCAAGAAGAAGCTCCTTATCATCGGAGGAATCATTGGATTTATCATCGCCCTGGGTATTGGTCTTGGAGTCGGACTGGGTGTTGGATTGGGCGGCGGAGGGGGAGGAGAGGAAGAGGGAGGAGGCGGGGAGACGACGCCGCCCAGTTCAGGCAATTACACCACAGCCAAATGGCAGCCCGCCGTCGGCACAAGTTGGCAGATTGAATTGCTCTATTCCTTGAACGACACCTCTGTCGATGTGGATGTTTACGACATTGACCTGTTCAACAATAACAAGTCTGTAATTAACGATCTGCAAAAGGCAGGCCGTAAAGTCATCTGCTACTTCTCCGCCGGCAGCTACGAGAATTGGCGTCCGGATAAGGACAAGTTCAACTCGGATGATCTGGGCAGCAACCTGGACGGATGGCCCGGCGAGAAATGGATCAACATCAGCTCCCCTCGCATTCGCAATATCATGCTCACGCGCCTGGACCTGGCTCAGAACAAGAGTTGCGACGGGGTGGACCCGGATAATGTTGACGGATACGACAATGATAACGGGCTGGATCTGACGGAGGCCGATTCAATCAGCTACATGAACTGGATGGCCAATGAGGCGCATGCGCGCAACATGTCCATTGGATTGAAGAACGCGGGGGCAATCATCTCGTCGGTCATCAAGAACATGCAATGGAGCGTCAATGAGCAATGCGCGCAATACGATGAGTGTGACACCTACGCGGCCTTCATCAAGGCAGGGAAGCCCGTCTTCCACATCGAATACCCCAAGGGTGACGACACCAACAACAACCTGTCAGTGACCTCGAGTGAGAAGACCAAGGCGTGCAACGCCACCGACTCGGGCAATTTCTCCACGGTGATCAAGAACATGGACCTGGACAATTGGATCGAGATGTGCTAGCAGGGCCGTTTTCAGATGAATAGAATGTAGGGACTGGAATTCGTCACACAAGCAAGGGCGCAGGGAGTTTTGATAACGATATCTATTGTACTGTAAATGATTGCTACTATTATCTACTATGATGTAATCCAGCATTCGTCTAGAAAGTTTATGATTGATCGTCACTTGTCATATGCACCACCCACACCTTCTCCCTGGAATACCTACCTACCTGCTTGCTGTCATTGACAACCTCTTTCTCCCCGAGCAACATCATGCATAACACACCTGCCATACCATGCCATACCATGCCATCCTCTCACCCGTCTTACTCTTTAGTATCTAGAGACTAGAGTCTAGTGCAACAATAATCGTATCATCTGGAACCAACTCATCCGCCGACAAAGCCACTTAATCAAACTCAGATCAAGAAAGCGGACGCATTCCATTGCCTGGAATGAATGAATGAATGACACCATCTGACCCCCAAAACCTAGTCCCAGTCCTAGTCAAGACACCAGGATCTAGCAGAGCCCAGCCCCGTCCCTTGGCCATCGATCTCGCTATCGCAACCGCCCAAAAATCAGCAAAGGCCCCCTCTGCCCCCTCTGCCCCCTCGGCCCCCGTTGTCTCACAGTCAAACCCACGGCGCCACACTGGGAGCAAACCAGACCACGTTAAGTTGAACGAAGCAAGCGTCTTGGTAGTTAGTCTAGGTCATGAACCGGCCCGGTCTGGTCTAACAGTCTCACGCCAATGAGGTATGGTGGTGGAGTAGAACGAAAACAAATGATTAACTACGTACTAGTAACTACTAACTACTAGGTGCAACGTGCACCCATCACGACCCAACTAACAATGAGAGTAGTAAGAACTTGATTTCTCTTAGAAATACATAGGGAGGAAAAATGGGTCTTTCCCCTGGTGCCTTGATATCTGATGAACCCGTGGACCAAACCAGACTTGGGCAGACCTTAGTCTACTGGGTGGTGTGGCGAGGCGAGGGCTGAAAACGGAGAATTGACCAGCAGCAGACACCCACTTACCCTATGCCAAAGAGACTAACCAGATACTAAGTGGTGTAGGTAGATAGTGGTAGCGGGTTCCACGCTAAACAGACTAGACTAGCAATGGAAATATCTAATTCCAGATTAAGATTATTAATGTAATAAGCGCTAGGCGATTTAGCTTCCCTCGCTAGAATCTCTCACACGCGTGGAGTGGAGAATAGAATCTGAGCCAGAGAAGAAGAGCGAATCGCCAACGCTAAGGAGACTAAAGTAGATAGATAACTAAGGAACTGGATTGTTGTGTCCGAGTGTCCCGAGACTAGTATTGCTCGATACCGGTGGTGTCATCAATACGATGAATTTCAGTTCCGGTAATTTTCAAACTTACTGGTAATGAATGTTGTGGGATCATTCAGTGCCTGGATGTCGTCAAGCTGAATTGACTTTCAACGCCTCTGCCCCTTCCCCTTCCCCTCCCTTCATCCTTTAGCTCAAAGAAATAGATTAATCAGTCAAAGATTTTAACCTTGGGATCAGACTTATCAGGAACTGATATAGCCATGACAACTACAAACACAGACCGCCTTCTACGTAAGTCAAGACTAGTACAACAGTGTAAACACCGACCTGAAAGGGTTACACGGAACAGCCCCCCGATCAATATCCAACCAGAAGGACGCAAGGCAAGCAAAAATACCACCAAAAAACAAAACACACCCAAACTAGCCAGGAAGTCAAGAAAAAACAGCAGAAGGAAAAGTTACTTCGTCCAGATCCTCCCAAAGATAAACTTCACCATCACCCACTTAGCGCCAGGAAGGAAAAAAAAAATTAAAAAAAAAGGAATCTCGCCGACGGCATTGACGGCATTGCTTTTCCCGATTAGCAGCACCACCCGTTCCTGAGAAGAAGAACAGAGTAGGAAAAAAAGAGTAGTGATTTGCCTTGTTCCTGAACCGGACTTTTTCCACTTCATTCCCCACTTTCCAATCCCCATTCGGGCCAAAGATCGCCGGGTGGGCGGTGTGTTGTGGGGCCTAGCAAGAAAATTCAGGAACCATTCAACAACAATTTTCATCTTTGGTTAGTTAGGCTACTTACTTAGGCTACTTTAGTTAGTGGATTCAGTGCTTCACACACTTTCCAACACTTCCATGTTTTCGACGGCCTTCTTCCGTTAGTTAGTTAGGTGAGGTTTAGTTCGCGCCGGAGGTAATTCCTTCCTCTGCATAGTTCATCCACTTACTTGACACTATCCACCGGTGACTGACCTTTCCTGGCTAGTTGGGTAACTAATCAGTGAGTTGGTTAGTTAGTAAAGGGGAGCAAACAAACAATCGAACGAACGAAAGTCAATGCGCTCGGTAACAACCCGTCAAGATTCTAGATCTTCTCCGTGTTTAGTCTACTTGAGTAAGGCGCTGAAATCCAAGCGAGGGCGGATTTCAAATCTTGACCTTACTTACAGAATATTGGGCTGGAAGAGCATGGAAGTGAGAGTGAGTGAGTGAGTGGACTTGGCGTTCTGGTCACCGCTGCGCTCTGATTGGGATTGTTTCTACGAACAGCTGCAGGCGGGCTGTATGCATGCATGCATGCGTTAGCACTAGAAATTACTAACCAGCTAACTAGCAACTACATTGTACTAGCTGGTTAGTTGGTTGGGGAATGGACTGGCTCGCTCACTTGAAGTGTCAAGTTAGGAGGTAGGTAATAATAGAGTCAATGGCATGATATGATACTCCAAATGTAGCATGTTGAGATGTTAGGGTAGCTTAGTTTAAGCTAGTTGACTCAAGCCATCATTCATATTAATTGCATTAGACTTATGTCGCTCTATTATATGCTTATTCGATGACAGTGTGTCGGATAGATTACCTATATGACAGAGTATAGATTAGTTCATTGCCCTAAGTAGATAGACAGGTGGATAGGAAGTAGTGCCGGAAATACATTTTAGAGACCCTAGTAGTATACTGACTCCTAAGATAGTAATATCTCAAACAACCGCAGTTCCCGCTTCCTTGATCCATCTAGATAGATGATCCCTTAATCTCGGGAAACCTGACAGCTGAAGCAATAATAGTAATATCGATTCTACTTTTGGCTGCTCATGACTCTGAACGCCACTACCTACTTCTAATAGAGTGCTAGTTCGGTTACAATCATACTACTTTGTAGGAGAGTAGTATTCTGATATATATTTCTCCGCGCGGGGTGAGGAATGTATCATGAATGACCCGGTCATCCATCAATCATTTCTATGCAGTGAAATCAACATCAAGATACACTGCATTCAATCCTTGTTTATCGACTCGCTCCGCTTGTAGAAACTATCTCCGACCGATCACAATTAATCTATTCCCTGCCGTGGGCAGTTTGTGTTACCTTATGGAAGGGTCGAAGTTCGTGCTAGAGAAGAGTACTAGGGTATTAGTGAGGGTTTAGTAACCCCACTAAAACTCAATGCTCATCGATCGACATGGCTGACAGACGATCGTCGAGCTTAGCCGAGATCACTCTTTATTACTGTCATGTTGACATTGCTTTACGTCTAGTTGTTTAGGGTTTAATTAGAGGGGATGAAACGTGGGAGCTGATTTTTCATGGGCCATAACCATACAAAAGAAACAGAGGATGATGACTTATGCGGAAGTGCGACAGTCTATGTAGGAAGTAGAGAGTTGCTATTAATGGGAAGGAAACTTAACTCCGGATGCGATGTAACGAGAGTCATCCTACCAGATCATGTATTAACCTGTAAGTAGTGGTAGTAGATAGTATCTGTGTAATGAGCCAGTGGCAACCCTGCCAAGTAATACATACCTACAATACCAATGCACCCAACCCATCGCATTCATCTCATCTCATCAGTCACCATATCATACAATTAATCTACACATGTAGTAATCAAAAATCCAACTCCTACCCAACCTCCCCCTCCCGTCAAGCCCAACCGATCGATCCAAAAATAACCTAAACATAACATGTATGTCTGACAAGGGGGCAGGGGGACGGCGGGCCAGGGGGACGGGGGTGCAGTTTTCCAAGACCCGCGAACGGAACATTTCTGGCCCCTCCCAGCGCGAGGAGATCCAGCCACAATATGCAGGGCACTTGATATGTATATGTATGTTATTATGCGGTGCTCCCATGGCGTCCACATACATACATACATAGTAAACATATTTCTTTAATCCATTGGAACAGAGATAATGATGATGGCAACGGAGTAATCCGACAACATACATACATAACATACCTTACTTAGAAGACGGTGTGACAGCATGAAGTTATTTTTACCATGTTGTATGTTTACGTGAAACATCACTACTATCACTAGACACCAACTAGAAGCGGGACATGCATACTCACAACTTCCTACGGAATCCGAAGCTCCGACAGCTGGATGGATCAGATGTCTGTTAGTGAGTGAGATGCAGGTCTCGGAAAAACTCAAATGAATGCATCCATCCATCCATCCATTCTTATTTCTTCTTCCTGCTATTAATCACATACCTACAGTAGCATCCATCTTAACCAACTAGGTAACTCTCAAATGATAGGTAACAATATACCCCGTAGCTATCTACCGAATACGAAGGAAGGATGTCGGTAGGCAGGGTCCTCCAAGCCCTACCATGCCATGCCATGCCATGCCACTTGCCTCGAGGAGAGATCAATTCCTATTAGTAGATGATCCAAGACATGCAGCAAGTTAGCCCGGGGGTCTGATCATCTGTTGCTTCCTTAGTATTTCTTTTTCTTACTGTGCGCATGTAGAAAACATCTCATATCATCTCATGCCACTCTTCGTATAGAAGAAGCACCTAATCAATTTTATCACGATCACACACGAGTGGCATAGTAGTTACCTAATGATCCTAAGATTCGGAATTCTCGGTTTTCCATGAACCTTACCTATCAGACTATGTACCTGTACACACATCTTTATGCAGCATGCAGCATGCATTGTACCTACTTACCACATCTCATTCAACTATCAATCCCTACCTCATCCAAACCAGAAAGACAAAAAGAATGAATTGAAAGAAAAAAAAAAAAAAAGGAAAAAAAGAAAAAGGCTAATGATCTAACCGATGAGATCATCCTCATCCACTTATCTCTGACTCGTGGTTAGCCCTGTTTGACCATGAATCAAAGTGGGCAATGGCAGACTTTTCTGGACTGGTTTGGTCAGTGGGGCTGGAATTCGGTAGTGGCTCTGAATCGGATCGGGGACCGCGGAGAATGAAATTTACGGGTGGGTAATGGCCCCACTATAGATGTGTTGTAAAGGAAACTAACCATGTACCTTGTTTGAAGAGGGGGAAATGGATGTATCCTTCCTTGGAAGATGGAAAAGAAGATAGTCTACCACTGGGTTTGGAAGTCTCGGAGCTAGTTAGTTACTTAGTTAGCTTCTTTGTTTCTGCCTGAGCTAAACCTCTGGAGAAATGCCTTGGAATTGGCGCAGTAGATTCCGAATTCAGTTACACTGGTGTCATCGTCTGCAACCATTGGATTCGAGTTGGAGGAAAAAGTCCTCTCGTCCATTTCACTTCAATAATCAGATCTTTTATCGTATACGTCATAAATACTGTATATACCAAGAAATTATATGCACCAGGCATCTGCCACCTCACGATCGAGCCATCAGTTCCACAAACTCCTCCCATTGGCTTCCAAAGCTCGCATAATAATCTGTATCCAGATGAGTGATGAAAATCTCATCTGCGACCTTGCGCACTTGCTTCACCAGGTCTCGGAATTTGTGCCCTTCCACGCTGTCCGGCACCGAGTGGACCACGGCGCACAGCTGGCTGCGAGTACTATTCGGGATCTCCTTAAACAGCTTAGCCCCTTGACGCTCCAAGAACGTCTCGTAGGTTGCCTCAAAGACCACAGTCGAATCAGCCGTCGGCAAGTAGCGGGCATCAGGAATCGTGCCGGGATTGTGGACGACCTGGTTGGGACAGTCTCGTTAGCATGGAAAACTCTGGCCAATGGTGGGCGTCCATCCAGATCTATCCGGACGATCCAAACGACAGCCCTGAGTTAGAATGGTCGGCAGGAACAGGCGCCAGAGAACAGAAGCTCCAAAAAAAGTAAAAAAGGACCATGCATTGAGGGGGCAGCAAAAGGCAATGATCTAGTGGGCGGAAATGCCAGCTGCCGAAATTTGGTAATCGTGTAAATTACCCGGCGTTACCCCTAGTAATGAAATAATGAAAATACGGGAGAGACTTCTGCACGTACATAATGGTCCGGACCCAGGCCGGCGGTCGTCTTCACGACAGCAGTCAGATCTTGGAGGTAGGCCAAGGTATTGTTTTCGTATTGCTGGGGGGTTTCGTCGAAAAATATACCCCGAACCGCTAGATTGGGGTTCGAACTGTTGGTCGGCCACGCCGCATAGGTCTCAATGTCCCGCCGCACCAACGAGAAATTGCGCTGCGCGTACGTGGTAGCAACATAGCCCAGGAGGCGTACATTGCCATAAGACGCCAGCTTGGGTATCTCTCGTGTGTAATTGCCATCGGGCAAGGCGTTGGGCCCTGGACCACTACCAGGATTGACCACGACGGTGAAGTTGACGTCGGGATGAGAAGAGATCCTGTGGCGTTCAGCTGCGTCCTTCGTACATCAGGGTTACTTGTATCGTGCCGCGGGACATCCGGTGGCTGACAGATAGCGTGGGCATGGACTGGGAGTACAATGTGGTTGGCGGGGGGAAGGGGAAGGGGGAGGGGGTTTAACATTTGGCGAGGGCTTGTTGAGATATGGGGAAGGGGACAACAAAAGGAAAAGTAGCACCTACACCTTCTCTAAGGGATCCCATGCTCCCGGTGCAGGGTAGACGTAGAGCGGTACGAAAACTGACGCTTTAGGGCCCATGGTGAATTTGTGTAGGGTCAACACCACTGCTGGTGGTATGACGACGGCGAGAAGGGCAATGAATACAAGGATTGCCAGAATGAGTCGCGAGCGCCGGCTTTGCAGGCAGCGCCGGTCTCTCACGTGTTCCCCTTGCCCCATTCTGCTGGCTTTGAGAAGCTAACGATGTAATTCGAAACCGTGCGCGCCAAAATTCGGGGGGGTCGAAACGAGCTAGCAAGTGGGCTCCCTTTGGCCATAGCGGATTTGGACCAGAGTCGGCCGGGAGACTAACAATTAAGTAGTCATCAGCGTTTCCAAGCCTGTTCGCTGTTGGATAATGCGAAGTTAAACAATTGTAAGGAGGGCAGTGGAAAAATGAAAAAAAATCGAAAGTAAGTGTATGGATGCGGCGCGCCCAAAATAGAGCGGGGCAGGGTTTCGACCATGCATCAGGTCTCGGATTAGCTGGAGAGAACAATTTCTCTTTTCCCTGGTCGAGAGCGCCTTCTCGTACCAATTGTACATCCTGCAGCTCCAGTGGAGGCGACCAGAGTTCGTTCGATGCCTCCCCCCCCAGCGGAGGCGAAATCCGTTTTCGATGACCCAGTAAGCCTTCTAGGCCCCGTTCTCATACCGAAGCAGCAACCGCTGACAACATCGTCCACTCTCTTTATATTTGCTTTTTCTCCTTCTAGTTTCGCTCGTTTCTTTTTCCATTCTTTCCTTTTCCCTGTGCCTTTTTGTCTTTTTTCAGAAGCCAGCCTTCCATATATTTCTTTTTGTCGCCGGTTTTGCATTTTACTGCATCCATTCGCTTATTCTGGTTATGATTCGTTGTAAATAAGCAAGTCACGGATCACGATATCTTCGCCTGACCTAGCGGGCCAGAGACAGCGGTTACATCGGCGCGCAAGTGGGAGGGCCTGTTGCTCGTTTTGAAGAAAAAATATAAGATTTGGGAAACTCCTTTCTTTGGGTATCCCGTTCAAAGTCGAGTCACCTGCGGTCGTTAAATTCTCGTAGGAGAATATTATCTTTCTTTCGTTTCCTTGTTCTTGTTTGTCCAAGTGTTTCTTGTTCGCATCGCCCCCCAACGGTGCCTCATCCTTCGACCCTATCAGTTATGGAGAGCCCTCGACAGTCCGATGCAAGCACTCCTGTGGAGCCTTGCTCCCCTGGTTGTGTGGACACACCGGCGACGCAATCTTCCGTGTTGTTTGATGGCAACCTGGAAGAGTTGCTGCGCAACTTTCCCCTCGATCAGTACATCCTCGTCACAGGGGGTCTCGGGTTCATCGGCAGTCACACAACATTGGAGCTACTCAAGGCCGGCTATAATGTAATTGTGATCGACAATCTCAGCAACTCTTTCCAGAGTGTCTTTGACCGTATCAGGCAACTGGCGGCAAAGTACCATGACGAGCAGGGGACGTGCATGCCGTCGTTGCAGCTCCACGCCCATGATTTCCGGGATGTTGCTGCTCTGAGGGGCCTTCTTGAGCAGTATCAGATCCAATCCAGATGGGGTACTCCCAAGTCTAGGATTGGTGGCGTCATTCACTTTGCCGCTTATAAGGCTGTTGAAGAGAGTATCAAGAATCCTTTGAAGTATTACGCGAACAATGTCAGTGGCCTCATCGACTTTGCCACAACTTTGGGAGAATTTGGCATCAAAACTTTCATCTTCTCCTCCTCCGCAACGGTGTACGGAACCTTGGCAACATCGGGTCTTCCCTTGAAGGAAGAACTCTGTGTTCATAAAGAAGAGGTCTACAGCGATCAAGACGGTCAGGAGCAGACCGTCAGACCTGGTTGCACGGGTATTACGAACCCGTATGGGCGCACCAAATGGATCTGTGAAGCGATATTAGCGGACCTTGCGGCCTCTGATCCAGAATGGACCATTGTAGCTCTACGCTATTTCAACCCTATAGGATGTGACGAATCTGGGCTCCTGGGAGAGGATCCCAGGCAGACGCCCACGAACCTTCTCCCGGTTGTCGTAAAGGTTATGACCGGACAGTATAAGGAGCTGCAAATGTTTGGCACCGACTGGGACACCGAAGATGGCACTGCAGTTCGCGACTTCATCCATGTCACCGATCTTGCTAGGGGACACATTGCTGCACTCAACGCTGCCAACGGTGGAAAGCTGGTTGAGAACTTCCGGACCTTCAATCTGGGAACTGGCCGGGGCCACTCTGTGATGGAAGTGGTCAACACAATGGAAGCAGTGTCTTCCAAGCCCATCCCGAGAAAGGCTTCTGGTCGCCGCGCTGGCGATGTTGGCTCCTGTGTCGCTGTGGCCACAAGGTCGCAGGACGAGCTAGAGTGGAAGACCGAAAAGTCCCTGAAGGATGCTTGCGTGAGCCTATGCAATTTCCTCAATGTTAGCGGTCTGTCCTCTTAGGCCGTATGCTTGTTTCCTGTTCATCATTGGCGCTTGGCGTGATTATATCTTCTTCCTGTGTCTCTTCCTCTCTTCAGAGGGAGCCCAAAATCAGGCTCCAGTCCTGACTTCATTTTTCTTTCTCTTATATCCATTTCGCTTTCGTTGCACTTTGGAATCTCGGCAGGTTCATAGTACCCTGTGGTTTTTGCATGATAGAGTCGGGACCCCCACTTATGTCCATCCCCTTAATGCATAGTGTATGTGTCATTGTACAATCTCATTATTGTCCCATTCTGAAGCCATTAACTGTTTTTGTAATTCAAACTAGCAAATTACTCATGTCAGTCAATTCAGTGGAAGCATCTCAATTGTTGCGATTCAGATAGCCTCACCCAGCATAGGTTGATCGAAAACTGTCATCTGTAAGAACGGGTTTCAGGAGACTTGCAGCATGGATGAGCTTTACTCTAAACGTAGAAAAGATGGCACTGTCCAAGATGTGCAAGATGTAGTTGAGCCCAAGGGTCCTCTAGTATGAGATCCGAGAGGTAAGAGGCGGGGAAGTGTCGAAAGACAGATCAAACAAGAAGGCGTCCCGGAGAAAGCTTAGTCACGCTGACCATCTTACCCCTCTGCGACTCATCAGCGATTCATCTCTTTGTCTACCAATAGATCATTTATCTGAATAGAATTGGAGACGAAAAAGCATATGCAATAGCGAACCCAAAAGTCGCCGGTGCTGAGGAGCTAAATATTCAGCATGGAGGGTCATACGTGCAGAGAGACAGGAGACAACTAGCGCCGATGAGAGGTTCAAACAAGTCGCGAACACCCTGTCAGACAGCGATATTTGGATGATTGAGTGATTGCGCAGCTTGCCTTAGGCGATTCTGCAGCTACCAGTAGCATGCTCTGTTTGATGTGTGCACAGACGTTGATCCAGCGCCACTGTTTGAAGGACAGTCTGCATGCGTGAACTTGTGGAATAGCACAAGCTTTCGAAGACAAACCGATGATGTACCTACTACTGCAGTGCTCTGTGGGCCTGGGTCTCTTTGCATCTCGAGTGGCCAGGGTATACTTCGGCCTACGGGGTAGGCAGCGGGAATGGCGCCAACATTGAAATATATCTGATGATCCGGTATAGGGCAGGGTTTACCGTTTTGCTACAACATGTAGTCTGATTGCCAAACTGAGGTTTACAACAGGCTTTGATAGGCTTGATCGTTCACGAAAAGCTGTTGACTCGGTATTGCTATGATAGGAGATCCGACAGAAAATAGGGAATGAGGTACGTAATAAAGTAGGACATACTGCGTCAGTCCTGTACACATGCATGAAGATTTGTTTCTTGTGAGATGCTATTCTACATACGGCCGAACATCCTGCCCTGAACTACAACTCGGTGCTAATTTGTTGAGTATCTGCTAGCCGAGTGGTTACTACTACTTGGTATATACTATATTCATCATGCCGAAGCAAGCATGAACTTGATATCTTCAATCAATTTGAAACCTTCATGATCAGATAGGCAACAACGAATGCTAATCCGTAATGATAGCTTTTGGTTCAAAAATGAGGCTAGAGAACCCAGATCATATATCAAAGGTATAAAGGTGTCGAGCGCTATTGGACGTCGAGATATATATTGATACTGCCTCACCAAAAGTTGCGCGTAAATTGCATCATGTCAATAAACTCAAGGATAAAACCCCAAAGTTGTCAATTTGCAGTCAAATAATGGCGCAAGACAGAACTTCCCCAAGAGCCCCGGGGGAGTACTAAGGTTATAACCAGACGCCGAGCTTTTTTCCCAAACAGGTAATTGTATACTATTCACATTGATATTTGTTGCCTCAGGCCTCAATATCTTGTAATCAATATCACGTGATAAAGACCTTCATGAACAGGTACCATAGATGGAATCATGATCGAACGTCTTTGCGATAGTCCAAAACGAAGCTAATATTAATTTGTCCATCAGATAAATGGTCACACACAAGTTCTTTATGGACCGTCGTACACGCCTTTGGCACACCTCAAAGCCACATGATGCTTGATTTTTTCTTGTAATATTAGCATTATCATGCGAATAAGATGTTAAGGCGTACTTGGAATATAAGGCGCTCCATTTATCCAAAAGTAGAAATCAAATAAGCCATCCAGCGATCTTTACTTGCGGTCCGATAATCTCCTAAAGTGGAAGTTCGAAGACATTCTTGTTGTGATTCTCTCAGCATATCCTTTGGATCACGTGACACTTTAACTCATGACCGGAGCATGCGCAGTGGCATCTATGACACCTTTGATCTCAAAAGTCCGCTTGCCCATTTTGTATTGATTATATCTCCCAGACTTATATTCGCTGGTTATTTTCGAAAAAAGACAGGTCACAGAAGACAGTATAAGCGTGGCTAACATGGGAATGCGGTTCAGCACATTATAAGCACGTGACCATACCTCCGGCTTGGCATCAAATTCCCGCCGCAGTTTTCTCGACAACTGCTCCGCGTCGGCCATCATACTCTAATTTCCAGCACTACGCTGATTCAAAAGCTGGCTGGGACTTGACCGCGGCAGTGATTTCAATTCATTTCAATTATACCCCCTTCTTCACAAGACAACACAAACACGCCACAATGATCTGCCAACGGTGCCGCACCGGTATCTTGTCCCGGCTACAGCAGCCCCAGACCGTTACGCTGTCTATCCCGTCACGCGCACGCCAGTTTCCCATTCAGCGAAGCCAATTCCGCAACTACAGTGATGGAAAGCCTACCGTATCGTCTACTCCCCCTCCGCCCACCCCTCGTCAGCCTGCCGGTGCTGATATCACAATCCCGTCGGCTGTGTCGTCCGCCACCCCTGGCGTGTCCCAACCGTTGAGCACCCCGGAGGGTGTTCACGCTGATGTCAACCCCGAGAAGCCCAAGAAGGCTGCTGTGGAACGTCCCCCGAGCTCTTGCGCTGCTGGCCAGAAGATGAACGGACTGAACTACTTTAAGAACAAGCCCGACGTTGTGGCCCTGGAGGATGCGGAATACCCCGAATGGCTGTGGTCGTTGTTGGATGACTCCAAGAAGAACAAGACCGCAACGGGCGGTGTTGACCCGAGCAGTATGGAGCCCGTCATTGATAGAGTAGCGTTGTTTCCGTGTGATGGTCCGCTAATTTTGTTACCCTATAGCCTTGAACAAGAAGCAGCGCAAGCGCTACGAGAAGAAGATGGCCGCCCGTGCCGCGACCCTGCCTCCCCAGATTCCCATCCACCATCACGCTACCGATATTACCCCTGCTGCATACAACGCCGATGCTATCCCCGCGGATGTGCTCGAAGCGGCTGCCGAGAGTCTCGACAAGCGTACCGAAATCAGACGGAGTGCCAGAGAGGCGCGGAGAAAGGGTATCCGGGAGGACAACTTCTTGCGCGGTCTCTAAATTCTATGCAGAAATTTGCGATTCGCTTGGGGGGAGGTCTTTGCTGGATGGGGTTGCAACATGTTAGCTATGTACAGTGGTGGTGGCTGACGAATGTAGGAATGCTTTTGTGGGATATGTTCAATGTATTCTATGCGACTTGTACTCATATTGATTCACCAGATCAGGCGCTGAATGGACTTTACTTTCGACATACACTTGAGACCTACCTTTAGACCTTAATCTTGGATATTGCCATTCGATATCAACTTGGATGTCCAGACTGCGACCAGTCCAAGCAGCCTGTCAACAAAGCCGCGTACGGATTCCTCGGCTCATATGTCTCCATACCTGACCCCAAGTAAGATAAGAACAGCTACTGTCCCCAGTTTCCGAAGCATGTCTTCCCAATGACGATTCGGCGCAGTAGAGCGAGCTTGTGCGAGAAGCCATCGAAAGCGAGCAGAGAATCAGTCTATTTGTCGCTAGGCTCGAGCACTAATCCGAGGTGTAAATTGTTGGGACATATCCTTCCGTCTGCTACCCAGTTATATGCGATCTATTGTTCTCGATCTACTGGCTAGCACTTTGACATCAAACTCGTAGGCGGTTGCCAGCTAGAGAGCCCCGGGAACTCACTGCCCGTTAGCATAGCGACCAACCGGAGTAGCGTGTAATAAGCAGATCAGATGTTAGCAATCATGCTGTGAAGGTAACATTGTGGATGCGATAGTATTTGGTGGTGAGTCTCTAGTTGTGGCATATGCGGACCACGGTCGCATGTATTTTTTTTTTGCAGCTTAACCGGAAGCGGGGTGGGGGAAATTTCGATCTCAGCCTTATGGACTGTGGAGATCTCAAGATGCACCCGTTGGTTAGATCCGATCTTATTCAGGGGACAAGCTTAATCGATCTTCTGCCTCATCATGTTGACTGTCCGGGATAAAATGTTGAAGTAGAAAGAAAGATTATCTGGTCCCGAACGGAAATAGTAAGCTCTGGTACCTGAGGCAGGATATTGATGACATCACCGATCCATGGAATTCTTGGAGAAGAAATGATGAATGGCTTTGTTCTGTTTCTTTCCGGCGTGACGCAGCTTAGCTTTCATCGCTGCCCAGCTTTGAACTTGGCGCTTGGCTTACCCCAGAGATGATGTCTACAGCTAAAGGCAAGAAGTAAGCGATCTCGTGTCTTGCACTGGAGTTCAATCCTCATTGACAAGGCCTGCCCCGCAGTGGAATTAGAATCACTCACTCACCTTCCCAGCAACTCATCACTGTCTGGGGACTACGAGATAGTATGTATGCCTGGGAACCCCTGAAATCGGAACAGGCCAGGATCCATCTCAGCCTCCCACTCTCCTCCACCAGCTCAGCAGCAGCCTATGAAGTGTTGCAGATGATACAGTCACCGCCAACGAGCCCGTCCAAGTGTCCACGCGGATGTGGAGCTGGTTAAAACTCAGCGAACAACGAAACAACATCTCTCTTCTACCTTCTCCATCTTTCTTTCATCCACTTCATTATCGTTAATCTCATCGCTACTACTTATAGAAGATCCCAACCCTTTGATTACCTTTCATCTTTAGCCTCACTTCCCGCTTATTCCCGGCGGTGCCCAACATCTACCCATCCTGAGGACAGCTGGAATTGTTCTCCGATCTCACCCCTGAACCCGTGTCACTGCCGGTGTCGATCATCAGGCCCCTCCATAACTATTATCCCCCACCGTCGTGTAACTTGGCCAGTCGACGCATTTCTCCATCCCAACAGACTATCCTATTACTCGGTTTTGTTCTGTGAAGCACATACCTTGCTATTGTCGGAACCATGGACGAACTCACTGCCCAGACCAGTCGCATCACCATGGACTCTTCCCTGTCCACGCAGAAGATCACACTTCCCTTTGCGCCATCCATGCTCAACTACATAGACAAGATCTACAGCTCGTTGACTTCAATGAACCAGCCCAACTTCTTGACTGATGTCCAACGTGAACCGACGGGCCAGGGGTCAACCACCAAGGAACACCCAGCTCCACTAGCGACCCTGGCTGCCTTCTACGAGTACTTGGCAAGTCCAGAGGCCTCTGCAATGAGAGCTGCTACCCAGATGGACCTCTCGGCGCCCATTACGGACTATTTCATCTCCACTAGTCACAACACGTACTTGACTGGAAACCAGCTATACAGTGAATCGAAAGCAAGTGCTTATACAAATGTATGTTCTTTCCGACATCAACATCCACTAGTGGAATTATCTTCGCTGTTGAAGGGTGGGGTGCAGTATGGCTGGTTCTTCATCGTAATTTGAATGCGTTGAGAGCAGAAGATGCTGGAACAAGATCAATAAGGTCTCATGTTGTGCCCAACTCTCCCATCGATGACTCTTCTAGTTCCCGATGATTTGTGATAGCAACGGCTGATCTTCTCAGGTCCTACTTAGTGGGTGCAGATCTGTCGAGATTGATGTTTGGGATGGAAAAGCAGAGGGTGAAAGCTCCCAAGAAACTGGCGACAGCAGTGCCACTAGTGGCAGCAACCCGAGCTCCGACGATGAGAAGATCAGTTCCTGTAAACCCCGTCGTGGATCCAAGAGGGAAAAGTTGAAGAAGATGACTGAGAACCACCGTCATCTGCGCGCCCTTTCCCAGGAAGTTGGCAAACTGGAAGGCTTTTTGGGACATCACAAGCCATCCACAAGCAGCGGAAGCTCTGGCGAAAGCAAAGCGTCTGGTAGCTCGATCCCGGTTCCTGGTAAACCAGAGCCACGAGTGTTGCATGGTCACACGCTTACTAGGGAGACCAGCTTCCGCGAAGTCTGCTATGCGATCCGGGACAGCGCATTTGTTGCAAGCGACCTTCCAGTCATTGTTAGCTTGGAAGTACATGCCTGCCTGGAACAGCAGCAGACAATGGTCGAGATCATGGAAGAAGCATGGAAGGGGATGTTGGTCGAGGTGACGCCTGAACTCGAAGCTGGCACGGTCCCGCCGCCGCCTCTTAAGGATCTGAAGAGGAAGATCCTGATTAAGGTGAAGCACGTCGAATCTGTAGACGAAGGTGGAGACCGTGAAGCAAAGGAGAAGGCAGTTTATACCCAGCACATGGAGGCTTTGAAGCAACAGAAAAGTCCCACGAGTCCGGCCGAGGCTTCCAAGACTCCCGAAACTCCGGAGTCCCCCACTGCAGCTCCACACAAGCCCTCCAAGATCCTGCAGGCGCTCAGTAAACTGGCCGTATTCACCAAGGGATTCCACTTTAACAATTTCGCACAGCCAGGTATGGTGTAGTTCACCCAGATGCATATCACCCAGTAATGTACTGCATCACCGACTGACATACAACAGAGGCCAAGGTTCCCAGTCATGTGTTCTCATTGTCCGAGAAAGCCGTTCGAGAAGCACATGCCACCGACGGCGACGCGTTGTTCGAGCACAACCGGCACTTCTTCATGCGCGTCTATCCCAATGGCTTGCGAGTCGACTCCTCCAACATGGACCCGACCTTCTTCTGGCGGCGTGGTGCCCAGATGGTTGCTCTGAACTGGCAAAACTTTGACAAAGCGATGATGCTCAATTCAGGAATGTTCGCAGGGGAGCAAGGTTGGGTGCTTAAGCCTCCAGGATATCGCGGCTCCGATGCACAGCCTGGAATTATCGAACCTCGCCGACTGGATCTGACTATTGAGTTCCTGGCTGGCCAGAACATCCCACTGCCCGCCGGCCACACCAACGAAAACAAATTCTACCCCTTCGTGACTTGTCTCCTGCACGTGGAGACACCGGACGACAGCTTCGCCGCATCTGAAGACGACACCGAATCCGAAAAGACCGGTTACAAACATTGCACGAAGAGCGTTACCGGCGTGAATCCCGATTTCGGCAGCCAGAAGATGGAGTTTGCGACCGTCTCGGGCTTCCTCGATGAACTGACATTTGTTCGGTGAGTTACTTTTCTATATCCCAAACTAGCTGTATGTGCACTTGCTGAATGCAAACAGATTCAAAATCAAGGACAACGAATGGATGCACAACGCGCTGGCCGCATGGGCATGCATTCGACTGGATCGACTCCAAGAGGGCTATCGTATCATTCACCTGAATGACAGTACTGGGGCGCCAACTGAGGGCGCTCTCCTCGTACACATCACCAAGAAGTACAGCTGAGAGCACTACCTCCGAGTATATTCAAAGAGAAGACCAATTCCTTTACATGATTACACTTGAGAGTGTCCACAGTGTTTACACAACATAAAGCCAGAGTTAGAGGCGGTATCTTTCTTTCTGTGTATTTAGATTCTCAAGATGAGACAAGACTTTAGACTGAAATTGTATTCCCATCCGAGATGGGGCCGTTATATTTTATTCTTTGAAAAGCCCTTATTGCAATACAAATGATTCCGTAGCATCTAGTAGACAACAAGAGTAACCAGCAATTCCCTACAGTCCAAAATAACCTGACACTCAGACCCCCTGACACATGACACGAAACACACACACGTCCAACCTTAAATTCCCCCCAGGCCAAGAAAATCCGGGGTAAACACTAAACAGAAACCCCCCCACCCAACCCGAAATAGGCAACTCTACGCGCTGCCAATGAAGGTTTTACCCCGCGCTTTTGCGGTTCCTTTTCCCGGATGCGGGCGGACTGACCTGGTCGCCTTCATTACCATTGCTATTTTCTGTTTCTGTCTCTACTTAGGTTCTAGTTCCTGTCTTCTTCTTCTTCTTGTGGACAGCTTGAGAATCTTATCTTATCTCTCCCAAATTCCGTCTCTTATTGTTGTTTCTATTGATGGTTATGTTGTGTTATGGTGTTATGGCGTTGGCTGATGGCTGATACATCTATTTCCCCTTCGTCTATTAATGACACCGAGAAGAGGGCATTGGCAGGAAAACGAACTCATGAGGAAAGACCTACTACGAAGTTTACGCGGTGTCGGACGGGGTGTTTGCGGTGTAGGACGAGGAGGAGGAAGTGTAGGTTTATGACACCTTCTCATATCGATTGTTGGGAATTAGGCTGATAAGCTAATTGGTATAGGCGACGAGACTAAGCCCCGGTGTCGGAATTGTATCGAGAAGAACCTGGTTTGTCACTATGGGGTACAGGTGACGTTTTTACCGAAGAATACCTTCACCGTTGCGGAGGGGGAGTTGTGTACGAGTACGAATATGAAGAAGATTGAGAAAGAAGAGAGGGTTGT